GCCGTCTCCAACCATTATTAGTCTCAAAGTGGGTTCCTCGTGATCGAATAAATGATAGTAGATAATTCATTGAAAGTGAAACAGTTTTTATGGATTTTATGTAAGTAATACTAAAATCTCTTGAGAAATATGTGTACATACACACCTCTATCATGTACCACTGGTTCTTGTTGGTAATAGTTCTCTGCTGCTATGCACAACTTTGTCAGCTGGAGTAATTATAATTTTTTATTCTAATTATAAAAGAAATGAACTGCAGATCCTCTTGAATTTGTAATAAAAATATTAAGAAGTTGTTCCCTGGTGCAACAGCAGTAAGTCTGCAGACTTGTAATGCTAAAATCCATGGTTCGATTCTCCATGGTGAACACAGCTGATAACTCAATGTGGTTTGCTCTACAACAAACAAACAATTAACAAGTTATTTTATGAAGTTATCATGATTTGAAGTATTTGAAAGTTACAAATATATTTTTTCTTTTTGAATATAAAGATTAATAATGTGAAAATTTAATTAAAAGTGAAAACTTTTATTGTAAATCTACTGATATTATTCATTTAATTTAGTTTTATACAAGTAATAGTGTACTGAAGTCTATATTAAATTTTAAAAAGTGATAAAAAAACAACTTTGGTAAACTGAATAATATATTTGCTCAATTTTTTTTTTTTTTGTTTGTTGTTGTTGAAAAGGTATTTATAATGGCCAGAAAGTTTTGGTAACATTTTTAAAACTTTTTAACCACACTCAATGTTTTTTCTTGTCTTGAGCTTGGTTTTTTTTTTTTTTTTCTATGTTTTACATCTAACTACTATTATATTTTATATGATACAAGTATATGTGATTCAGATTTTATTGAGCTGATGAAATATTTTTGTTTTGATTTTAAGATGTTCTTATGTGATAATAAAAACTGTTTTATAACATCTTAAAGAGCTTGAACTTATGAATTGTTCTTTCAGTGTGTTCTACATTTCATGGTGGGTTCACAACAGTCACATGAAGGAATTAGTGCTGATGCAGTTCGAATTTTGCTCCAGGCAGGCCTAATGAGAAAGTGAGTACAATGTATTTATGTTCACCTGTTGTGCATTTCATATTCTAATCAATAAAAACATTTCAATAAATATTTACTGCTACTAACATGGCTTTATTTTTCTAAGAAAAATTATATATTTATGAAAATATTTTTTCTTGATCTCAACTCACTAGGGCTAGGGATGGCCTAGTAGTTAACCCATGGACTGTGAATCTAAGGGTTCTTGGTTCAAATCCTGTTTTTTCAAAATTTCATTCTGCACTTTGGGGGCCCTGTGTTTATTAGAGTAGAGATAGTCAAATCCCACTATTTGATTATAGTAGCCCTAGAGTTGAGAGTGGGTATTGTTGACTAGCTGCTTGCTCAGTAATCTATAAGTTCAAAATTAGAGATGATTAGTGCAGGTAGCCCCTGTATAACTTTGTGCAAACATTTAAAACAAACAAGAAACATATCACTAAATGAAAAGATATAAAAATTATTGAGAAACTTTACATCTTGTTATTGTGGAAATCAAATAGTATAAATAAGTATAGTTATTTTCAGAATATCTTGCACGTATAACAAACTACCAGCCACATATCATCACTTTACATCAACTGTAAGAAAAATACTACCAACACTAGATTCTATATGTTATTACTATCATTTACAAAACTTTTTGCATTGTCTGGGACACTGAGCTGTACTTCCATTATTAGCTAGAAGACCGTACAAACTCCATAGCCAAATATACTTTTAAATGAAGTGCATTCAATATGTATTTGTCAGTCAAACTTCAGTTTTAAAATAAATGTAACATTTTAGTTTCAAGGTTATATCTTTAATTTAAAACAATTTAACATGGGCAACATAATTTCATCATATTATCCCTTCTGGTTTTGAGACAAAGCATCTACAAAATGTGTGTATGAAAATAAAAATGACAGTAGTAATAATGATGTGTGAACAGCAATGAATTTTCATGCTATATTTAGAAGACTTAATTATATCCCTAAAATTAACCAGCAGACATTTCTGAAGTATTAACCACTTCTCTGTGGCAGCAGTGTTTATTTCTTGTACAGAAAAAGTTTTTCTTTTTGTAGTTTTGTTATAATGCTGAATATTCAAAGCCACTAGGACATATTGTTTGTGATTGCACAGCAGAATCCATTGTTTTTTATGTCTTGGTCATTCATTTTTATTAGCACTGATAAGTTACTTGTGAAACACTTTTAGACTCACTGCTTTCACTTACATAATGTATTCATCTTGGTATACATACATGCAACATATACTTTACAGGTATTCAACATTCAAAGCTTATTTCAAACAGATCTTGGGGCTTTAACAGTTACTGTTCTGATTTGTCTAGAATGATAGAGAGGAAAATCTCTTTTATAAGTGAAAGTATATGTGATCCTGTTTTTTAAGGTTGTTTTCTTTTCATGTATATCACAGCCAAACAGTGTTATATAGCTGCAAAAATAAAGCAGTGATTTATCCCAAAACATCTGTGAAAGCATGATATACTACTGAAGATATATGTTAGTCATATAACTTTGTCATATATTCTACACAACATATAATCACAAGAAAACTTGGGATGTATTTTATGTTTAACCAAGGTAAATACATCTATGTACATATACAGGGAAAGATTAGTATATGCTGTGGATTCTATAGCACGACATACACCGTTTATTTTGCTGTATGCCCTTTGTGAACTATACTTGTTGATAACACTTGCTATCTTTTTGAAAAGGAAATTTATTTTATTATTTTTAAGTGAAGAAACTGAAACAAATCCACTGATCACAACAGATGGGTTCCAGTTTTTATTGATGGACACTTCAACTCAAGTCTGGTATTTTATGCTTCACTATCTAGAAACTGTTGAGGTATGACTTACTTTAATTTAATTAGTAACATGCTCTTCAAACCAAAAAAAGTTTTCAACAGAAAAAAAAAGACATTAAAGTTGGTCTTAAGTTTTGGTAATTGTCTACTAGATTATGAAGCTGTTAGACATCTTGTGATTTTTTGTAGATTAGTAAGCCATCATGTTGTTTATTAACCCTTTTGAGATGCATCATGGGTGAAAGGCCCAGTCATCTTGTTTGTTGACTCGCATTCAAAATTTTATTGAACTACTATTATTTCAATAACTTTGGTATGAAACTGTAGATTATAATTCAAATCTTAGTACTATATATTACTCAATTTCTTAATTTAAAAGCAAATATTAAAAATACACAGATAAAATTGATTTTTGTGTGCCACGTGGTATGTGTAATTAGATGTTTGTGAAGTCAAAATACCAAGTCTTTAGTTTCGTATGAATTACAAACTCAAATTACCAGTATTAACAAGATAGAATATAAAATAAGAGCATCTTTTCTTTTCAATTTGCTAAGATATTGCTCATGTAATAAATCAAACACAGTGGCACCCCACCCACTTCTTTCTATTTTTGAAAATGTTCCCTTATATACACTTACTTCTATATATGCCACTAGGGGGACATTCTGATCTTCCGACTGGTTATTTGTGTCATATATAGAAGTAAGTGTATATATGACTAGTTATTCATGTCATATATACACTTCTATATATGACATGAATAACTATTTGGAAGCTCAGAATGTCCCCCTAGTGGCTTTCTTGGCCATTTTAACAGGCTTGGTGCCATTTCTTTCTTTTGAATCAATATTTCAATGAGATAGGGTTGTGTCTTTAGTCTGCTCGAATTTTAATATTTTTTAGACTAAAATGCATCTTAGTTACTAAGCTTGATAAATTATAGTGGAATTCTATGGTATTAATATAGTAATTTATGATTTTTTAGATAATTAAATGTATGTATAAAACCTAAAAAAATAATATTTTGTTTCATATCCTTCACGTGCAAATTTTTTTTAAAG